GCTCCTTCCGCTCCACCAAGCCACCTTGCAAAGGTCAGCCGAGTGCAAGGCTGGAGTGGGGGTAGAAACCAGACCGCATACCTTGGTGTTTCTTGCTCCTCTTCCCCCTTTAGATTCGGAGCATGTTTCTTCTGAAGTCACAATACTTTTGCTTTGAGGATGTGCGGTCCCTTTAACGTCTTGAGTGACTTCCGCGTAGCCCCGCCCATCTCCCCTCCCCACTGCCCTGTTCCAAGCCCCACCTACTGCTTTTTGCCCTGGGCCAATTAACGCCCAGACTTCTCAGGACTGGAAAGTTGGCTTCCCGACCCGGCGACTACTGGCCCACTTGCTCCGGGGCGGATTTTTCGCGTCAGTTGGTCGCGGACCCCTCGCGGCCCTCCTCTCAGCGGTTGCGCCGTTGATGTAACCAAGTGTCCCGCCCCATCGTTTCCATAACAACAGTACACAACGCCTCCCGGCGCCTTTCCCCTCTTCGAAAACACTCCTTCCTTGTCAGGGCCAAGACCCTCTCCGGAACCTCATTTTTTAGTAGGGCGGAACCAGGGTCCGAGCCCCTTAGTGAAGGATTGGGTGGGAGGGTTGGAGAGGGCGTCAGTCTGCTGCCGCAGAGGGGACAGGGAAATGGGGCTAGACAGGGTGGGAAAGTGAAAAGAAATGACTGGAGCAGGGGTTAGGGAAGGCAGGGAGGGGAGGGGTGTAGGAGGTTGGTAGGAGAACGTGGCTGAAGGGGGAGGCGGGAAGACCTGGGGAGAGGGGAAGGCAGGAAGCAGGGAGGCAGAGCTTCGAGAAGACAATTGGAGCCCCTGTGGAGGGCAGGAAAGGCCTGGGAAGGTACCCTGAAGGGAGAGAGGTCCTTGGTGGGGACTCAAGGTGGGGGCTGGGCATCAAAATGAGATGCTCACAGGGATAAGGAGGGAAACACAGTTGGGAAGAGATCAGGGGTGATGGGAAGGGCACCCCGTCAATGGAGGCCAGGGAGCTGAAGGTTGGCTAGAGCTCAGGACACATTATTTTTGGGGAGGTGCACTGAGCTTGATCTCTCACTCCAGAGCCTTCAGCAGGGAAGAAAGATGTCAGATGAAGAGCTGGAAGACTTCGAGCCAGACCAGGACGATCTGGAAAAAGAAGATGATGAGAAGGAGATGGAGGAGTGGGAGGACTACAGGAAGGAAGGAGAAGAGTACTCAGAGGAAGTGAGAGCTGGAAACGGTGGGGTCCTAAGGCTAAGGGAGGGGGTTGGACGAAAGGGATGCCTGACTCCACTTCTTCTTGCAGTGGATGCTCAACCCCCTCACGGAGGACATGATGAAGGAAGGGCTTTCTTTGCTCTGTAAGACGGGCAATGGACTGGCTCACGCTTATGTCAAGCTGGATGTTAAAGAGAGGTGCACTTATGGGGGGACCAGAAGAGGACTGAGGTTGTAGGGTCCAATCTCCTCTCTCACCCTCCTGCCTGGCTGTTGCCACTGGGAGTCTGAATCTCTCTTACCTTGGCCAGTGGAAGGGAAGGATAGAATTTACTTTCCAGGAGCCCTGTGGGTCCCTGCTTCAGAGCTGGCCTGGGGAATTGGAGGCTATGAGGGTCTGTCAGGGGGATTCCTACTGGACTGGGTTCCTCCTCTTGTCCTTCAGAGGGTCAGTTCTCGGCTCTTCACAGATGGAAGCCCCTGCTCCCTGTGAAGAACCCACCTACCTTCTCTCCCCCTCCCTCACCACTCCCATCAGTCACCCATTCTTCTCTCCAGTACAAGCCATCTCCACATTGCCCTCTGCTGTAGCGTCTCTGCCAGTCCTTCCTGGATTCTTTACTCTAACTCTGGCCTCTGCTGTCTCCTAGGGACCTGACCGACATCCACCTGTTACGGTCCTACATCCATCTGCGCTATGTGGATGTTTCCGAGAACCACCTCACAGACTTGTCCCCACTCAATAATCTGACCCACCTGCTCTGGCTCAAGGCCGATGGCAACAATCTGCGGAGCGCACACCTGAACGAGCTGCCGTACCTGCAGATTGCCAGCTTTGCCTATAACCAGATCACTGACACTGAGGGCATCTCCCACCCTCGTCTGGGCAGCCTGGATCTCAAAGGTGGGTCTTTCAGTCGGGCTACACAAGAGTCTCTCCTTCCTAGCTTGGGGCCAGCAGAAGCGGGCAGTGTGGTCTTGGGCTGTGCCACACAGTAATCTCCATTCATTCATTCATTTATTCATTCAGACAGCCCTTATGATTCACTACGACATTTCTATGTGCTGGAGATGTAGCAGTAAACAAAACAAAATCCCTAGTCTCATGCAGCTTACATTCAAATAAGGGAGACAGACAGCTACCAATGGGCATAATAAATAAATAAATTTATGTATGATGTGGAGAGGAAATAGGTGCTGTGGAAAACAGATTAGGGTAAAGGGATTAGGTAGAGGCACAGGTGGTAATTTCAAACAGGCTGGTTAGGACAAACGTCAGAAGCTGACATCTGAGCAAAGAATTGAGGGAGAAGAAGGAGTTAAGCATGGGGGGTACTGGGCAGTCTTCATTCCCTCCTCAAAGGCTTGGATGGACATGTCCATTTGGCCCTTAGACTCCCAGACCGCTTGCCCCAGGGCCCCAGAGGTGTCAATTCTGGAGTTGTCCCTCCTCATAGACACCTCACATTAGAGGGACAGGATGATACAGAGGCTCCCAACATTCAGGTTCTACTGAATTGGGATAGCTACTAGAATTGAATTCTACTGAATTCAATTCTACCTGAATTGGGATAGCTCTATGAGCTCATACCACCCTCTTGCTCCTTAGGGAACCGCATCCGCAGGGTGACTGGTCTGGACCCCCAAAAGCTGATCAGCCTGCACACACTGGAGCTGCGGGGAAACCAGCTGGAGAGCACCCTGGGAATCAACCTTCCTAAGCTAAAGAACCTCTTCCTGGTAGCTCACTGGGTTAGAGGGTGGTCGGTACGGGGAAGAGGGCACAGCTCGGCCGAGGGGTGGGGGGCAGGGTGCCTGGCTTCTAGTTGGCTCAGCTATTAACCTCACCATCGTCATGGGCATTTGGTATCATTTACTGAGCCCTTCCTACTTTGTAGGGCTGATAATACATAACACAAGGGAATAGAGACAATTTGCTTTGATACAGGTAGTAGTGTAATTTACAGATATCAGATTAGAGAATCCACTTGAATGTTAAGTCTTTTTGGCTCTTGAGCTTCTCGATTCTAGGGCGGTGCTGAAGCCATTTCTGCTCAGTAGAGCAGTGGGGCGCATGGGCTTCGGCATGGGTCAAAGCATCTCCTCCTGAATCAGAGGGGGCTTTGGTGGGATGGGGATGGTTACTGTTGACCTTTCTCTGGACTGGCAGCTTCTCCTAGACTTCTTTGATGTCTACTCCCATCTCTACCCACTTCCACTTCCCTCCTGCACCCCTGCACTGCCACTCTTACATTTCCTGTGTCTCTGACTTCTCTTCCCTGTCCCTGCTACCTTCTCCCGATCTCTGTGCTGTATCCTGGGGGCTAGGCCCAGAACATGCTGAAGAAGGTGGAGGGCTTGGAGCACCTAAGCAATCTCACTACCTTGCATCTTCGAGACAACCAGATTGAAACGTTGAGTGGCTTCTCCAAAGAAATGACATCATTGCAGTATCTCAATCTGAGGTATTCACCCCTTCCTGGCCCCACCTTGTCCCTGCCTTGGACCAGGAGCGGCTTCTGACCCCATATTCCTCCCTGGCTCCGAAGCCCCAATCCTAGCCTGCTCCTAGACTCTACCCTCATCCTCCATCCTGGTCTTTAGCCCTCCTTTCCTTACTGTGTACAGCCTCGGACCCCTGAATCTTTATTCACTCAGTCCACAGTTACTGAGAACGTGCGACATACCAGGCTTGGTGCTGTATTCTGGGAACATCTAAAGGAATCAGAGTTGGTCCCTGTTTTCAAGGGATTCACAATCTGGCTCCAACTCTCTTTTCTTGGTCCTATTCCATGTAAATTTTCTCTGCCCTTCTCTATCTCCTGGACTCCCATTTCCCTTCCCATTTCCTGCCTCTCTTCTCCTGAGCCCTACTTGTAAGGGATGGCTTCCTTACTGGTATAAAAACACAAGATGTTCTCATATTTGAGAAGAGAAGAGTATTTGAAAGAAAATCTCTAGATGGAAAGGCACCGGGGATTGATTGGATTGGTGGGTGGGGGGTGGATTTTCTTTCAGTAACCCTTGTCCATTGGAGGATTTTATGCGTGTTTCTTTAAGCAAGATGGAAGGTAACTGCCTCCTTAGTCAACATGGCCAAATCCTCAAAACTGGCAAAGGAAAGAGAACCTCCAAGTAGGGAGAGATGGTTGCATCTTGGAGCTCCCAATTCCTGCCATGGCTCCTGGAGAAGTCTCTTGTTAATTAGTTCTGCTGTGTTGGTCTGGTAGAGTTTGGGGGGGGGGGGGCTTGCTTTTTTCCTATTAATAATCTAGTCAGAGAAAATAGACCCTCCTCAATGGCTACTACCTACCTAGCTCCAGGCTCCTTCCTGAGGGGAGTACCAACCTAGCACCCACCTCCATGAGCTCAGATCCCAGTTCCTTCTCCACTGGCCTGGGTCCTGCTTTCTAACCTTTGATTAGGTATGACTGATACACAAGCACTTTGACACTGCAAGGGAGATACCCCCCTCCTCTCCAACTAACGAGACAGGGTTGGTGACATAGCTTTGCTGCTCCAAAAGGAGAACTACGCCCAGCATGTTACAGAACAGACCAGGGCACTCACAGTGTTCTGGAAGGGCTGAGGCAGCACGAGAGTGGGGCTGGACAGCCCTGGCTCTGCTCAGGTTATCCAGCTATGCTGATCAAGCCAATCCACAGAGGCAGTGTTTCTAGGGAAACCAGAGCCTGGTGAGAGGTTCTCGCAGGGGATTTCTTCCTGGTGGTGGGGCCCCCAAAGCCCATTAATCCCCCCCGGGGCGAATCTCTCCTGACCACACCTGGCAGGGGCAACATGGTGACCCACCTGGGGGAGCTAGCCAAGCTTCGGGACCTGCCCAAGCTACGAGCCTTGGTGCTGTTGGACAACCCGTGTACAGATGAGAACGACTATCGCCAGGAGGCCCTGGTGCAGATAACACACCTGGAGCGCCTGGATAAAGATTTCTTCGAGGAGGAGGAGCGGGCCGAGGCTGATGAGATCCGTCAGAGGTTGAAGGAGACCCAGGAGGAGGAGGCTGAGGCTGAGCATAACTCCGAAGTGAAAGTGCCACCCGTGTAGCTCTTCCAGCCTCTGAGGACGGTGAGGAAGCTGACAGAGAGGCGGGAAGAGGAGGCCAAGGGTCTGTCAGAGAAGTTGCTGTAGGAGGTGGTTGAGGAAGGAATATGGCGAGGAGATCCCTTGGAGAGACCAGGCTTAGGAGTTAGGGGGTGTCTTGGGGGGGGAGGAAGGACCAGAGGGGCTTGGGGGGGAGCTGAGAAAAGGCTTAGGAGAATACGTTAGGAGAGGAAAGTTAAGGGAGAGAATTGGGGTGGCAGGCAGAGATGCCCGTGTGCAGCCACACATGAAGGTCAGCTGGAAAGGACCGGTCTGGGGTGTGGTGGTGGGGGCGCTGGGGGTGGAGGGTGGAGGTGGTAGTTAAGGATGGGAGCTGGGTTGAGGAGAGGAGGCAGGGGAGGAAGATTTTGCACTAAAAATCTGAATCTAAAAATAACAGGAAACAGGAATGAGGGGAAGAAAGGAGGACAGGATAAGGCAGAAAGAGAGTGAGGTGACCAGCCCAGGGGAGTGTGGTGGCTGGGCACTCTGGAAGGGGGCACAGGAAGCAAGGGGAATGCAGTAAGGCCCAGGGGCTTTCCTTCCTCCCTCTTCCTCCAAGAGATCAAAGACACTGGACCTAAGACCTGAGAAGACTCCCAGAGAGCTCCTCTTCCACATTCAACCCCTCATCCCGAGACAGAGCATGGCTTCTCTTGGCCGAGACCTGGGATTTCATCACAGCCTGCTGCCCAGGCTCTGTAATGGGCACCTGGGCAGCGTCTGGGTGGGTCTGATTCCTGCCTGGAACCTGTGTGTGTGTGTGCGCGCGTGTGTGTCTGGGGGGAGGGGTGTGTGTGTTGGGGGGGGTGGCTCAGGCAGGTGTAGGGGAACCAGGCCGGGATCTGCCCAGGGGATGCTTGCAGAATTGGCTGCAGAGGAGCTGCGGAGGCGGAGGGGTGTGTGAGAAACAGTTTGGTTTTCAAATAAAGAGACATTTTGATACTCTTGTGTCTGATTGGGGTTGTGAGACACTAAGTCTGTCATAGGCTTCACTGGTGTAAGGCTGTGCCTGTTACTTTCCAGGGTAGCGGGGCGTGGGTGTGAGCGCGCATGGGTGCCGGGCCTCAGGGCCTGGGTCGCCCCCGCCCCCCCCATTTCTCTTCTCCCGGCCTCCCCCCATCTCCCCCATCGGCCCCCCAACCGCGCTCCTACGTGCTCCTCCGCCGGAGGCTCTGACTCATCGGGGGCTCCGGGTCACATGCGCCCGCCCGGCCCTATCGGCGCCTCCCCCCGCCCGCCCCCCGCCCGCCGCCCGCCGCCCGGGAGCCGCAGCCGCCGCCGCCACCACTCCCGCTCTCTCTGCGTCGTCGCCGCCGCCGCCGCCGCCCCTGCCGCCGCCGCCCCTGCCGCCGCCGCCGCCACCGGCTGAGTCTGCAGCCCCGAGGTGAAGCCCCGGCTGGCCCCTGCGACCCTCTGGGCCCCCTCCCCTAGCCACCGTGGCCCCCCCACCCCCGCCCGCCCGCCCTCTCCCCTGGCCTGCGCGCATCCCTCGCCCCGCGGCGCTGCGCACCTGCTCTATCATCCGCACCTTCCCCGGGCATCCTCCCTCCCCGGCCTTCTGGGACCGCTCCTCTCGGTTTCCGGCTGTTGCCCCCTCCTCATCAGAGCGCCAGGCCTCCCTGCACCTGTTTCTCTCTAACTGCGCCTTTCTCTACCCTTGTCTGACCCTCTCCCCACACCTCTTCGCCTCGGGTTCTGTCCATGTTAAGTTCGGGGTCTTCACGGGCCGTACATTTTTATCCTAGCACGTCCCCTGGCTTTGCATCAGGGGAAATGTCTTCTCCCATTCCTCAGCATCCCTAGACTTCTAGACTCCCTTCTTTCCCACTACCCCCCTACCCATTGCCCCTCTCCTTTTACATTATCTCTCGATGCTGCACGGGGGAGGGATGGGAAGAGAGGAGAATTTGTCTAGGGGGTGCGGGGTGTTGGGGAGGGGGGTGTTGGAGAGTGGGGAGGATGGGCCCAGCCTTGCCTCTTCCCCCAGATCTCTTCTCCCTCCCCACTCAACTCCCAAGGACTGAGGGCTTCCCCAGGACCCTCTCGCCAGACTTCTCCACTGTACATCTCTTGGGAAGAGAAGGGACAGATGTTTGGGAGAGGAGCTAGGATCTTGGAATGGGGGTTGGGGTGTTAAGTTAGGGTGGGATGTGGGCTCTGGAGGAGAGGCCCCAGCTACCCAGACAGTCCATCCTTTTCTTGGCTCCAAGGAGAAATGCAAGCCTGGCAGCCATTACACTCTGAGATCTGGGGGAACCCCACCAGTGGGCCACTGGAGCTAATGAGGGGGCAAGGGAACCTCTCCCAGGGCCCCTCCCTCCTCACTGCGGTGTCCTCCCTTCTCACTGATTGATCCTTCCCCTCCCCCCACTGCAGTGACCTCCCCTTCCTCACTGCATTGACCTTCGCTCCCCATGGGGTGGGGGGGGATCCCTTCTAAAGGCAGGACTGCAGCCAGCTCCTCCCCACCCCCCACCCACTGCAGTAACCTCTTTCCCATCCCTCCCAGCCTCTGATCCCTCCCACTGATCAGGCTCCACCTCTCTAAACCTCTTATCTTTCTCCTTCCTTTCCTTCCACTGGAGATCTCAGCCATCATGTCGATAGAGAAGATCTGGGCCCGGGAGATCCTGGACTCCCGTGGGAACCCCACGGTGGAGGTGGATCTCCACACTGCCAAAGGTAGTGAGCCTGGCCTTGGGTCTTCCCACAGCCCTCAGTCGGGGTTTCCCCTGGCCCTGGAGGGGGTGATGCCTTGATTCCCAGTGGGGATGGGGTGCTGGGCCAGGCTTACAAGTCTGGATTATGGGGGTTGCATCCTCTCTGTCCAGGGGAGCCAGGATAGGCCAATCTGTGTGTCCTGTTTCAGTGTATGAGGTATACCGTTCCTCTGCACATCTGTGCGTGCCCCGGGCATGTGGGCGTTTGTGTGCTGACAGCATAGCTTCGTGTCTGTGGGGTCCTCCTTGTGCATGTGGGACCTCAGCTGCACAGATGAGGAGGCCACTGCCTGTGTGTGTGTGTGTGCACGCGCGTGTGCGTTAGGGAGCAGTGTGGGGATGGGACTGGATGTGGCAGGCAGCTTGGAGCTGGAAGGCTGAAGGAATCCCTAGGCCCCTGAGTATCCTTCTGTGCCCCTCCTTATTTCATGTTCCTCTCCCAGGTCTTTTCCGGGCTGCAGTGCCCAGTGGAGCCTCCACTGGGATCTATGAGGCCCTGGAACTGAGGGATGGGGACAAACAGCGTTACTTAGGCAAAGGTGAGGCCCTTTCTCTTTTCCAGGCTCTCCCATGCCTCAGCTTTATACTCTTAACCTTACACCAGTTCCCAACCCCCATTTTGCATGCCCCCCACTTCTGGCCCCTTCCACCTGACCCAGCTGGGCCTCCCTGCCTCTCCCCAGGTGTCCTGAAGGCAGTGGACCACATCAACACCACCATCGCTCCTGCCCTCATCAGCTCAGTGAGGCCCACTCTTTGCTGGGGGCCGGGGAAGGGGGGATGGGCTGGGGCGCTGGTGGGCAGGACCACGATCCTGAAGGAATCTTGGATTAGGGGAGAAGGGATCCAGGGGAGAAAGGTCCACCTCTTGGGAATCATGGTTACCAAGGAAGGGTGGGAAGATTCCTTTACCGCTCCCTGCCCCTGTGGGGTTCAGGTTCTCTAATCCAGACAGGCTGTTCTCCCAGGAACCCTGGCCAGAGGGGAACCTGCCTTAGGGCCCAGCCTCCACGCTGGCCTGGGGTGATGGTGGCTCTGCCCACAGGGTCTCTCTGTAGTGGAGCAGGAGAAGCTGGACAACCTCATGTTGGAGCTAGATGGGACTGAGAACAAATGTAAGCTGGGCTGGGTGAAAGTGGGGAGGCGGGAGGGGGAGGATGTGTGGAGCACATAGTGTGGAGCACTATGGGGGCTTCCTTAGGAAGGACTGTCAGGAGTTAGCCCAGCTTCCATTCTCCTCCCAAAGCCAGAATAAGAGAAGATGAATTTAACTGCAGTGGGAGGGAGTGACATTAGACAGAAGGAAGAACTTCCTTGCAGCTTGAAGAGGGCGAGCTGGCGGGAGAGAGCCTGTGGTCTCGGGATGCCTAGAAATAGGTGGAGCTCTCTGCCCTTTCCCATCACGTCGTGTGTGTGTGTGTGTGTGTGTGTGTGTGTGTGTGTGTCCCGCTATTTTCAGGGGAGCATTGATGAGGTGTTGTAGGAGTGGAGAGGGAGGAGGGGGTCTCCTTTACTGGCTCCTTTTGGGAGTGCAGGTGGAGGCCGGGGCTCAAAAAGATGGGGCCATTTTTGCTCAGTGCCTTCCTCTATAATCTCCCAGCCAAGTTTGGGGCCAATGCCATCCTGGGTGTGTCCCTGGCCGTGTGTAAGGCAGGGGCGGCCGAGCGGGAATTGCCCCTGTATCGCCACATTGCTCAGTTGGCTGGAAACTCAGACCTCATCCTTCCGGTGCCGGTGAGCCGTGCCTGCCCTGCCTGGGCCTCTCCCGGGGGTGGGCGTTGTGTGGGGGGAGCATGAGACCTTGTGAGGAATGATGGGGGAGAGTGCATTGAGGCAGCTAAAGAGAAAGAATGGGGGCAGGAGACTTTGAGTCTGGGAAATGGGGGCAGACACTCTCGGGTTAACACTCTTGGGGGTGGAGGAGGGAAGTGCTCTGTGAGTTTTCTGTCCTGTGGCCCCCCCAGGCCTTCAACGTGATCAATGGTGGCTCTCACGCTGGGAATAAGCTGGCCATGCAGGAATTTATGATCCTCCCAGTGGGCGCTGAGAGCTTTCGGGATGCCATGCGAC